GGTTTGGCCCAATTCTATCTTTGGTGTGGTTCAGAATGCTCTTTGATTGCAGGTGAACTATGAATCCCAGCAACTACAACTCCCAAATGACAAAATCAATTTTTTTGAGTGAAGGACATACATTGGGTTATTAGGTGTGTCCAAATTCGATGTTAATTCATCCAGTGGTTTTTGAGTTCTATTAATCCCACAAAGAACGTTACATTTTTATTTATATAGATTATTATTATTACCGCTCCAGCGGGAAGGTAACGGCGCTCCTTGCAGTCATGCTGGCCACATGCGGCCTCACAGCAAACACCATTTGGTGCCATCATAATGATAAGAACAATTAACAAATTCATTAAAACAAAACATGAAATAAACAGTTGTTAAAACACGCCAATTAAAATCCGGGTCAATTCACTGTCACTTCGAAATGGCTTATGTCTTCTTCATACAAGCCGCTGTTCAATGGTCAAATGCAAGGTCCCACAGCCAAGTCTTGAGTTTCCTTCTAAAGGACAGGAGGGAGGGGGCCAGTATGATGTCTTTGGGGAGGGAATTCCACAGACAGGGGAAGCCACTGTTGAGAAGGCCCTGTCTCTTGTCTCCACCAATCACGTTTGCGACGGTGGTGGGATCGAGAGCAGGGCCTCTCCAGATGATCTTAAACTTCGTGATGATTCGTAGTAGGAGATATGTTTAGACATGTAGTCTGGGCCAGAACTGTTTAGAGCTTTAAAGGTTAAAACCAGCACTTTGAATTGTGCTCGGAAACAAATCAGCAACCAGTGGAGCTGGCGTAAGAGAGGAGTTGTATGCTTCCTGTACGCCGCTCCGATGAGCAACCTGGCTGCTGATCATTGGACTAATTGAAGCTTCCGGGCAGTCTTCAAAGGCAGCCCCACGTAGAGCGCATTGCAGTAGTCTAATCGGGATGTAACAAGAGCGTGGACCACCGTGGCCAAGTCAGACTTCCCAAGGTACAGGCGCAGCTGGCGCACAAGTATTAATTGTGCAAAAGCTCCCCTGGCCACCCTCGAGACCTGGGGTTCCAGGCTCAGCGATGAGTCCAGGATCACTCTCAAGGTGCGAACCTGCGTCTTCAGCAGGAGTGTCACCCCATCCAACACAGGCTGCAACCCTATGCCCTGCTCAGCATTGAGACTGACCAGGAGGACCTCTGTCTTGTCTGGATGCAGTTTCAATTTTTTCGCCCTCATATATGTTCCACCATGTCTCCTATGTCATCGCTTGGGAGCCCCTCCCCCAGGAACAATATACTAATACATAATACTAATATTGGGTTGTGCTAATAATATAATACACATTTTATACACATTAATCTGCTGTGCTAAAGCCGACCTTATAAAAGATAAAGGTTTCCCCTGACATTACGTCTAAGCCGGCGCTGTCCGTAGACGCCTTCAAGGTCATGAGGCCAGCATGACTGGATAGCACGCCATTACCTTCCCGCAGAAGCAGTCCCTATTGATCTACTCACATATGCATGTTTTTGAACTGCTAGGTTGAAAGGAGCTGAGCCTAAATAGCAGGAGCAAACCCCGCTCCCTGGGTTTGAACCACCGTACTTTTCTTAAACTTTTTATTCTCAATAGCTCCCGCTATTAAGCCCAGCTCCTGCCAACCTAGCAGTTTGAAAACATGCAAATATGAGTAGATCAATAGAGACCGCTTCTGTTGGAAGGTAATGACGTACCATCCAGTCATGCTGGCCTCATGACCTTGAAGGTGTCTATGGACAGCGCTGGCTCTTCGGTTTAGAAATGGAGATGAGCACCACCCCCCAGAGTCAGACACAATTGGACCTAATATCAGGGGGAAACCTTTACACACACACAAACACACACACACGCCTTCTGGTGGCACAGTGGGTTAAGATCAATGCCCACCAAACCTTTCCAGTATTTTCTGTTGGTCATGGGAGTTCTGTGTGCCAAGTTTGGTTCAATTCCATCATTAATGGAGTTCAGAGTGCTCTTTGATTATAGGTGAACTATAAATCCCAGCAACTACAACTCCCAAATGACAAAATCATAATTTTTTGAGTGATGGTCACTCCTTGTGTTGTGAGACGTTTTGTTGCCAAGTTTGGTGTGATTTTGTTCACTGGTTCTTTTGTTTTTAAGGTACTCATTATGCACTGAGCATTTATATATATATATAGACTAGCGGTCCCCTGCCACGCGTTGCTGTGGCCCAGTCTGGTGATCTGGAAAATAAAGTAATGAGAAAGTGTTGGTTTCTAATATATGTAAAGTCTTTATGCTTGTGGGTAAACAGTATTTCTTGCTATTTCTTTGCCAGTGTTGATGTGGAGATTGTCAGATTTGCCTACTCTGGAACATGCAATATATAATTGTCCTTTCAAATCTTTGATACTGCATCTGTCATATACGTGTGTGTGTGTGTGTGTGTGTGTGTGTGTGTGTGTGTGTGTGAATGGCTGGATGGCCCTTTGTCAGGAGAGCTTTGATTATGTTTTCTTGTCCCGGTGGAGTTGGACTGGATGGCCTTCAGTCACCAAAGAGCACCGGAGAATAGTATTTTCTGTTGGTCATGAGGGTTCTGTGTGGGAAGTTTACCTCAATTCTGTCGTTGGTGGGGTTCAGAATGCTCCTTGATTGTAGGGGAACTATAAGTCCCAGTAACTACAACTCTCAAATGTCAAGGTTAATTTCCCCCAAACTCCATCTGTGTTTATATTTGGGTATATTGAGTAATCGTGCCAAGTTTGATCCAGATCCAGCATTATTTGAGTCCACAGTACTCTCTGGATGTAGGTGAACTACAACTCCCAAACTCAAGGTCAATGCCCACCAAACCCTTCTAGTGTTTTCTGTTGGTCAAGGGAGTCCTGTGTGGCAACTTTGGTTCAATTCCATCATTGGTGGAGTTCAGAATGCTCTTTGATTATGGGTGAACTATAAATCTCAGAAACTACAACTCCCAAATGACAAAATCGTAATTTTTTGAGTGATGGTCACTCCTTGTGTTGTGAGACGTTTGTTGCCAAATTTGGTGTGATTTTGTTCATTGGTTCTTTTGTTTTTAAGGTACTCATTATGCACTGAGCATTTATATATATATATAGATATAGATATAGATATAATATTGACAATAAGGTTATAATGTAATGCAATAATAATACAATAGAATATATAACAATAATGTAATATAATAATACTAATATTAAATACTGCAAGTCGCTTCTGATGTGAGAGAATCGGCTGTCTACAAAGACGTTGCCCAGATGTGTTACTATTCTGCGTGGCAGCTTCTCTCAGGAGCTTTTCCAGGGTCAGAGAAGCAGATGGCAAAGACAGTAGAATGACAGACACACCAGTTCAGTTCACAGAATCGTTGTTCTTTGGTTGTACTTTCCTGCATGGCATGGCAGCAGATTACAGGAGCTGTCATCAGTTTACAATACTCTAAATCATTGCCTTTTCCTGAGAAAAAATTATAATATCACAAAGGAATACCACCTCACCCGCTTCACATAGGAAACCTGCTACAAAACAGGAGCTTTTTTGTTGAGTTCCAGGGCCAGAGAAGCAGATGGCAAAAACAGAAGAACGGCCTGCCTCAGGGGAGCATGCTTGCTCCATCAATGTTTAACATTTACACAAATGACCAGCCACTGCCAGAAGGGACAGGGAGTTTCATCTATGATGACGATTGTGCCATCACTGCTCAATCAGGGAGCTTTGAGATGGTTGAACAGAAGCTCTCTGAAGCTCTAGGTGCTGTTACTGCCTATTACAGGGAAAACCAGCTGATCCTTCATCCATCTAAAAGACAGACATGTGCTTTTCACCTTAAGGACAGACAAGCATCCCGAGCTCTGAGGATTACCTGGGAAGGAATCCCACTGGAGCATTGCAGCGCACCCAAAGACCTGGGAGTCACTCTGGACCATGCTCTGACTCACAAGAAGCACTGCCTGAATATCAAGCAAAAAGTGGGCGCTAGAAGTAATATCATATGAAAGCTGACTGGCACAACCTGGGGATCACAACCAGACACAGTGAAGACATCTGTCCTTGTGCTATGCTACTCTGCTGCTGAGTATGCATTCCCAGTGTGGAACACATCTCACCACGCTAAAACAGTGGATGTGGCTCTTAATGAGACATGCCACATTATCAAGAGGTGTATGCGTCCTACACCACTGGAGAAATTACACTGTTTAGCTGGCATTGCACCACCTGACATCTGCCGGGAAGTAGCAACCAATAGTGAAAGGACCAAGGCAGTGACATCTCTGGCCCATTCCCTGTTTGGGTATCAGCCAGCACGTCAACAACTTAAATCAATAAATAGTTTTCTAAGATCTGCAGAGACACTCGCTGGAACACTTCAGCAAGCAAGAGTCCAAAATTGGCAGGCTCAAACCCAGAATCTCAATCAATGGCTGATACCCAATGAGAGACTCCTCCCCTGGGCACACAGAAAACTGGGCGACTTGGAAGGCGCTGAACAGACTGTGCTCTGGCACCACGAGATGCAGAGCCAACCTTAAGAAATGGGGCCACAAAGTGGAATCCACAACATGTGAGTGTGGAGAGGAGCAAACCACAGACCACCTGCTGCAATGCAACCTGAGCCCTGCCACATGCACAATGGAGGACCTCCTTGAGGCAACACCAGAGGCACTCCAAGTGGTCAGATACTGGTCAAAGGACATTTAATCAACTACCAAGCTTGCAAACTCTGTGTCTTTTGTATATGTGTTTGTTTGTTATGCCAAAAATGTAATACAACTGTTCGGTTGCCTGACACGATAAATAAAAATACTTCTGACACGATAGATAGATAGATAGATAGATAGATAGATAGATAGATAGATAGATAGATAGATACATTTCTTGGAATTTTTTGCCAGTTGCTTGAGTTCTGGATAACAGAGAGTCTGCTGTGATACTATCCCCCCATGCGATACTATTCCATAATGATTTGTAATGAAATGCAGTCATTAAAGACAAAAGACAAAGTTAATGTAACACGATTTTAGTATATTATAAAATCAGTTTTGTGATTTCAGGATTAGTTCTTGGATTTTCTGCTAGTGGCTGAAATGCCCCCCAGCTCTCTAAACCGCTCCTCCTAGGTCTTGGCTTCCAGACCTTTGGCCATTTTGCTTGCCTTTCTCTGGACACTGTCCATCTTGTCCATCTCGTCCTTGTGTTTTGGTGCCCAGATTCCACGTGAGGTCTCACCAAAGCAGAAGAGAGTGGGATTACGATTCCCCTCCATTTCTAGACCATATTTTCCTATTGATGCAGCCTAGAATCGCATTGGCCTTTGTTGCTGCTGCATCCCACTGTTGGCTCATGTTCAGTTTGACTTCTAAATCCCTTTCACAACTTGGTCAAGACTTCGAGAACCAGGGCAGCGTGGAGGGCATTGTCAACCGCTTGGCCTGCTGAACTCAACCTTCATCACACTGAAAAACTGTTATTTTATTCTGCAATCAGAGAAGTTTGTATCTGGGGACGGATCTTTCACATCACGGGGCACTGCACAGGCCGCTTGAGGGACTCCACTGCGCTTTCTGCCGTGATCCTCAAGGAGCTGAAATCCAACCCGGCCCAAGCAGAGAAGATGGAGCCGGGCTCCGAAGTGTCCTTAGGCTTCACAATTGCCAGGAGGTCTTGGGGGAGTTTCGTCTTTCCCCCGGCCGCTTCCAGTTGCTTCCTATCTGTCCGGTTCTGTGGGGAGGAAAGCAAGAGGAACAAGAACAGAATTAATATTGAGAAAAGATTGTGTCAACAGGACACAAGATTGGTCTCAACAGAAACGTTGTGCGGTTTAAGTTTCCTCACCATTATATATCCCCACAGGCCAGTAGCAATCCTTTCTATCTTTATCCTACCATCCTGTGATTGCATCTGAGCACTGCGTACCTACATCATTAGAGGCCAGTAGCTGACCCTTTCTATATACAGTCCTTTTGTGCTTGCATCTGAACAATGCACACATAATTAGAGGCCAGCAGCTAAACCTATTTATGTATCTACTGCCCTCTTGTGGCTGTATCTGAGTGCTGCATACATACATAGAAAAGATTAGCCACGCCTCCTTCTTGTGGTTGCATCTGGGCACTGCATACATACATGTCTATAGGGCAGCAACTAATCCAGTGTTTCTCAACCTGGGGGTCGGGACCCCTGGAGGGGTCGCGAGGGGGTGTCAGAGGGGTCACCAAAGACCACCAGAAAACACAGTATTTTCTGTTGGTCATGGGGGTTCTGTGTGGGAAGTTTGGCCCAGTTCAATCGTTGGTGGGGTTCAGAATGCTCTTTGATTGTAGGTGAACTATAAATCCCAGCAACTACAACTCCCAAATGTCAAGGTCTATTTTCCCCAAACTCCATCAGTGTTCACATTTGGGCATATTGAGTATTCGTGCCAAGTTTGGTCCAGATCCATCATTGTTTGAGTCCACAGTGCTCTCTGGATGTAGGTGAACTACAACTCCCAAACTCAAGGTCAATGCCCACCAAACCCTTCCAGTATTTTCTGTTGATCATGGGAGTTCTCTGTGCCAACTTTGGTTCAATTCCATTGTTGGTGGGGTTCAGAATGCTCTTTGTTTACATTTTAACTATAAATCCCAGCAACTACAACTCCCAAATGACAAAATCAATCCCCCCGCCAACCCCACCAGTATTCAAATTTGGGCATACCGGGTATTTGTGCCAAATTTGCTCCAGTGAATGAAAGTACATCCTGCAGATCATTATTTACATGGCGATTCATAATGTTAGGGTTATGGTTGGGGGTCACCACAACATGAGGAACTGTATTAAGGGGTCGCGGCATTAGGAAGGTTGAGAACCACTGAACTAATCCTTTCTATCTATATGCTTCCCTCAGCTTCGATGTGGTATCTCTATTCACCATGGTCCCAGTAGCAGACACCATGGCACTCATCAACCAGAGGTTCCCAGAAAACATCATGGCTCTGTTTCACCATTGCCTCACCACCAGCTACTTTCAGTGGGACAATGAATTCTACGAACAGAAAGATGGAGTAGCTATGGGGAGCCCTCTCAGCCGGTCATAGCTAACTTCTACATGGAACACTTTGAAAAACAAGCCCTGGAGACAGCAACAAAAAAGCCCACGATATGGTTCAGATATGTGGATGACACCTTCACCATTTGGAGCCATGGAGAAGAAGAACTCAACAGGTTCCTGGACCATCTTAACAGCATCCACCCAAACATCCAACACGCATCAAGGAACATGAAAGGCACTGCAGACTCTTTCAACCAGAGAAGTCAGCCATAGCAGAGCACCTGATGAACCAGCCTGGACACAGCATATTATTTGAGAACACAGAAATGCTGGACCACACCAACAACCACCATGTCAGACTACACAGAGAAGCCATTGAAATCCACAAGCATGTGGACAATTTCAACAGAAAGGAAGACAGCATGAAAATGAACAAAATCTGGCTACCAGTATTAAACTCTAAAATTACAACAGCAAAACAACAGAGAGGAAACAACCAGGCACATCTTAACACCTCTCAACAAGGCCTTCAAATGCTAATGAAGGTGGTCAGTTGAAACATTCACACCTAGCTCTAGCAGAGAAGAGCTCTTTGCCCCAGCCCAGCCATTCCACAGATATATAAACCCATTGTCCTATTTCCAACAGACCTCACTACCTCTGAGGATGCTTGCCATAGATGCAGGCAAAACGTCAGGAGAAATGCCTCTAGAACATGGCCCTATAGCCCGAAAAAACCCACAAGAACCTACAGCAGCGAATCTTTTCTATCTGCTGCCCTCTTGTGGTTGTATTTGAGCACTGCATTCCAACATGCCTATAGGGCACCAACTAATCCTTTCTATCTATATACTCCCCTCTTGTGGTTGCATCTGAGTATTGAATACAGACAAAACTATATAGACCAATAGCTAATCCTTTCTATCTATATACCCCCTCTTGTGGTTGCATCTTAGCACTGCATACATACATACATGCCTATAGAGCAGCAGCGAATATTTTCTATCTATATGCTGCCCTCTTGTGGTTGTATTTGAGCACTGCATACCAACATGCTTATAGGGCACAAGCTAATCCTTTCTATCTATATGCTTCCCTCTTGTGGTTGCATCCGAGCACTGCATACAGACATACCTATAGACCAATAGCTAATCCTTTCTATCTATATACTCCCCTCTTATAGTTGCATCCGAGCATTGCATACAGACATACCTATATAGACCGATAGCTAATCCTTTCTATCTTGATGCTGCCCTCTTGTGGTTTCATTTAAATACTGCATACCTGCAACCTAGAGGCCAGTAGCTGATCCTTTCTATCATATACTCCCCTCTCGTGGTTGCATCTGAGTACTGCATACCTATAGGCCAATAGCTAATCCTTTCTATATACTGTCATTTTTATACTTTTGGGGGTCCTTGCCTTCAAATTTTGTAGTTGAAACCCTGCCATTAGTTGAAGTTGGGTAACGAAAGGCCTGTGTGCGAGTTTGCTCCAGATCCATCAAACCATGTAGGAGCCTTCTTGATACAAACCAACAAACCAACATAAATACTTTGATGTTCATATATACAGGTATGTATATGTGTGTGTGTTTATATATACAGGTACACATTCATTGGGGAGAAGGGAGTCTCACCTTGGGCAGCTGATATTTCTCCCGGAGGTGAGCCCTCATGGAGGCACGCTCGGCTTTCCGTTGAGCAAAGGCTGATTCCCGTTTGGTCCTGCAATCGGGAGGTAAGAACAGTGTATGGGAAATGAGACACTTATGGGATTGAAATGTCTGTAATCAATCAAGCCAATAACTGTAAATAAAGAACAACACTCAAACACAGGGGAACTCCAGACAAGAAACAATCAGGGCCAGCTAATCACCTCTCAAAAAAAGATTCTCCCTAAAAACTGTCAGGCCATGAAATGGTAATCAAAGTGGCCAATTGAAATATTCATACCTACCTCCAAAAGACAAGAGTTCTTTCTCCCACCTTGGATCTTCCACAATTATCCTAGTTCTAAGTCAAAGAGCCGACGTTGTCCATAGACACCTCCAAGGTCATGTGGCCGGCATGACTGCATGGAGCGCCGGGGAAGCCTCACTTGGCTGGCTCAAGCTGCCCATCGGGCATGAGAGAGAGAGTGAGCCAGCCAAGGGAGGAGCACACCGCGTGACCTACCCTCGCGTAAAGCACCTCACGAGGTGCTTTACGTGAGAGTAGACCGCACGAAGCAACTGCCCTTGGTTGGCTCACGCTGCTCATCGGGCCCAATGGGCAGTGTGAGCCTGCCAAGGGAGGAGCAGCACTGCGTGGTCTACTCTCGTGTAAAGCACCTCGCAAGGTGCTTTACGCAAGAGTAGACCACACGGAGCAGCTGTCCTTGGCTGGCTTACACTGCTCATCGGGCTGACGGGCAGTGTGAGCCAGCCAGGGAAGGGGCACTGTGGGGGGGGGGCGCTCCTCCTCCACAGGCCTGATAAGTGCCCTTGGCGGGCCGGAAGTGGCCCGCGGGCCTTAGTTTGGGGACCCCTGCTGTAAAAGATAGTTCAAAATTAGGGAATTAATAGTTTTGCTAAGGACATCAGGCTGGAATGATCCCATAATCCCCTATCTCTCCCCAATGTGGGAACCTAAGGCTTCTTCCATGACCCCACATGGCAACGCCCCTGTAATCCAAACCAGTATCTAAACAATTTGGCTATTATTTATTTATTGGATTCCTTTTTTATTGAATGAAACTCCTCTGTTTTATGAATGGACTCTGGCTACTCAGTGCTCCTAGGGCAGTGATGGGCAACCTTTTGAGCTTGCTGTGTCAAAGTTCGCCAAAAAGCAAGCATTACTTGGGTGGGGTGTCACTTCAAGGAAAAAAAACTATAATTTTGCGATATTTATAGTTTAAATAACAAAAATGTATAATAATAATAATAATAATAATAATAATAATAATAATAATATATGGCAGGAAATTGCACCCGTAACTCAGACTCTCGCCTCTCCCAGCTTGTGAAAATCTTCACCTTTACTTTTACATAGGAACCACCATACCATGCAGCAGTGTCCAAGTCTACATTGGGACCACCAAACGCTGCACCCAAACACAAATCAAGGAACAAGGATGCAGGTGAAATGTCAGGAGAGAATGCTTCTGGAACATGGCCATACAACTCCGAAAACTCACAGCAACCCTGTTAAGAGGTGCTTTGTTCACCCGAAGCTTAATATTTCATGATTTTCTGACCAACGTTTCCAAAAATAAACCAAGGGGCTCTTACTGCTGTTTCTGGGATCCCTGGAACGTTCGGTTACAGCTAAAGTATTTTGGCGCATCCGTCTCTCTCTCTCTGGGAACGTCTTTTGAGATGCAACACAGCAGTTGCTTGGCAGGAGCTCCGAATTTCACTGTAGATCCCATTATTGCAAGAAAGCTGGAACACACAACATGCAACGATAAGAAAGGTGACAAAACGGGCTTAAATTTGAAGAAGAATACAATAAAATCTCTCCAAAATGCTTTGAAATACTTTAACTAGAAAACATTACTTGTCAGACCAACAAAGCAACTTTGTTCCCAGTGGTTAATTACACCAGTTAATTACAATGAGACAATGGTGGCGAAATGGATTAAACCCTTGTGTCAGCAGGACTGAAGACCGACAGGTCGTAGGTTCAAATCTGGGGACAGCGCAGATGAGCTCCCTCTGTCAGCTCCAGCTCCCCATGCGGAGACATGAGAGAAACCTCCCACAGGGATGGTAAAACATCAAAAACACCCAGGCATCCTCTGGGCAACATCCTTGCAGACAGCCAATTCTCTTACACCAGAAGCGACTTGCAGTTTCTCAAGTCGTTCCTGACACACACAAAAACACAATGTAACACACTTTACATTGTCTGGAGAACAAGCCCTATGAGGAGCGGCTTAAGGAGCTGGGCATGTTTAGCCTGAAGAAGAGAAGGCTGAGAGGAGATATGATAGCCATGTATAAATATGTGAGAGGAAGCCACAGGGAGGAGGGAGCAAGCTTGTTTACTGCTTCCTTGGAGACTAGGACACGGAACAATGGCTTCAAACTACAAGAGAGGAGATTCCATCTGAACATGAGGAAGAACTTCCTGACTGTGAGAGCCGTTCAGCAGTGGAACTCTCTGCCCCGGAGTGTGGTGGAGGCTCCTTCTTTGGAAGCTTTTAAACAGAGGCTGGATGGCCATCTGTCAGGGGGGATTTGAATGCAATATTCCTGCTTCTTGGCAGGGGGTTGGACTGGATGGCCTCATGAGGTCTCTTCCAACTCTAGGATTCTATGATTCTATGAATTTTGGTTCCTGGGTTATAAATGTCATTTCCTAATTGGGTCTGTCATAAAAAACATGGAAAAACTTTAGTAAACTGCTGAAACTTTGCTGCAGTCTGCAAATTAAAAGGTTAAAAATTGCAAATTTCCATTAAGGAAAATTACTTATTATTGTTATCATTAATATTAATGCTTATTTATGCTTTATTGTAAAGTTGCTTTTATTGTTTATTGTTTCATGTTTGATAAATTTGTATTGTTTTAAGATGTTGTGAGCTGCTTTGGGTCCCGTTTAGGGAGAAAAGTGGGATACAAATAAAGAATTATTATTATTATTATTATTATTATTATTATTATTATTATTATTAGTTGAAACACAACAAGATGAGTCCACAGCAGAGACTCTGCTGGCTGTTGAATTGGATCACTCATCGGACACTTCCCAAGTGTCTAGGACTGTGTAATGTCTTATTATTATTAATATTATTATTATTTATTTGAAACACAAGATGAGTCCACAGCAGACACTCTGCTGGCTGTTGTATTAGATCTCACGTCGGACACTTCCCAAGCGTCTAGGAATGTGTGATGTATCGGCGAATAATGCGTGCAGATCCCAGTAAGGTGGCCTTCTGCAGCTGGCAGATGGTAATTTTGTCAGTGCCGATTGTGTTTAAGTGCAGGCCTAGGTCTTTAGGCACTGCACCCAGTGTGCCGATCACCACTGGGACCACCTTTACTGGCTTGTGCCAGAGTCTTTGCAGTTCGATCTTTAAATCCTCATATCGTTCCAGCTTTTCCAATTGTGTTATTATTATTATTATTATTATTATTATTCAAAACGAAGTGCCAAGATCAAAGAAAATAATACTACTACCCTCCACCATATATATATATATATATATATATACATACACACATACACACACACACACACACACACGGAGTAGAACAACTCGTTTCAAAGTAAGTATCGCACAATTTAACAGGAAATAACACTTTCAAACCAGGAACAGAATTTTTTCAACTCTTTTCAACTGTTTTCAACTTTTTCAACATAGTGTTATTAGTACTAATATTAGTATTTATACCCCACTTTTTCTCTGGCAAAGGAGTCTCAAGGCAACTAATATTCAAAACCATAGCAATCTAAGACCTAACACATATAAACATCAACACAGAATTAAACTATTACTCTCTCTTGAAGTCAATAAGGCATTATATCATTACACAAAACTCAGGTGCTCCTTTTAAACTCCCCAAATCCCATGTCAGTTGGCAGGGAATGATGGGAGTTGCATTCTAAAAAGAAATCACAGTTTCTGAGCCCTGAAATGTTGAATCAATACTGTGTTTCCTTGATTATAAGACACATGTTTCTCTCATATAAACATCTGTAAAAATAGAATGCGTCAGAATCGTGGATTCTCTCTCTCTCTCTCTATATATATATATATCCCATCAATTTTCCTCCTCCATCGCCTGCTAGTCTCTTCCCCTTTTCTAAATAGTTAGCCTTCAACCTACCTCTGTTTTCTAGCCTTTTAGATTTCAATGTACAACACTTTAATGAGACTGCAACCCTCTCTCCTTATGCTGGTTTATGACCGTAATAAATATTTGTTTGTGTATTTATTTATGTATGCATGCATATGTATATGTGTGTGTGTGCAGCCCCTAAGGGTCTTTTCTCAGGCCCTCCTCTCTCTCACCATTCTATTCTTCCTTCTCTTTTTCCTCCCTCCTTCCCTCATTCTCCTTCCTTCCCCTTTGTCTTTCCTTCTGCTCCTTCCCTTCCCTTCCTTCCTCCCTCCCTCTTTCTCCCTTCCCTCCTTCCTTTTCACTTTTGCCTTCTTCCTTCTCTCTTTCTTCCTCCTTCCCTCCTTCCACCTCTTTCTCTTCCTCCTTTTCTTTCTTCAAACAATGATGGATCTGGACCAAACTTGGCACGAATCCTCAATATGCCCTGATGTTTCCTTCCTTCCTGGAGGATGGACAGGCTGGATCTTCTTGTGGTCCAAGGCACTCTCAGAATTGCTCCTTCCCTTCCACCCTTTTGTCCTTCCTTCCTTCCTTCTCTCTTTCCTTCCTTCCTTCCTCCTTCTTTCCTCCTTTCCCCTTCCTTCCCCTCTTCCTCTTTCTCCTTTTTCTTCTTTCCCTTCCCTTTTCTTTCCTCCTCTTTCCTTCCTTTCCCTCCTTCCCTTCCTCTCTCCTCTTTCTCCTTTCATCTTTCCCTTCCTCCCTTGTCTTTCCTTCCTCCTTCCCTTCCCTATCTCCTCTTCTCCTTCCTTCCCTTCCTCCCTTTTGTCTTTCCTTCCTCCTTCCCTTCCTCCTTCCCTTCCTTCTCTTCCTCTTTCTTCTTCCATCTTTCCCTTCCACCCTTTTGTCCTTCCTTCCTTCTTTCCTTCATTCTTGTCTTTTACTTCCTTCTCTTTTTCCTTCCTGCTTATCTCCCTTCCTCCTTCCCTTCCCTCTCTTCCTCTTTCTCCTTCCATCTTTCCCTTCCTCCCTTTTGTCTTCTCTTCCTCCTTCCCTTCCCTCTCTTCCTCTTTCTCCTTCCATCATTCCCTTCCTCCCTTTTGTCTTCCCTTCCTCCTTCCCTTCCTTCTCTTCCTCTTTCTTCTTCCATCTTTCCCTTCCACCCTTTTGTCCTTCCTTCCTTCTTTCCTTCATTCTTGTCTTTTACTTCCTTCTCTTTTTCCTTCCTCCTTACCTCCCTTCCTCCTTCCCTTCCCTCTCTTCCTCTTTCTCCTTCCATCTTCCCCTCCCTCCCATTTGTCTTTCCTTCCTCCTTCCCTTCCCTCCTTCCTTCCCTTCCTTCTCCTCTTTCCTCCTTCCATCTTTCCCTTCCTCCCTTTTTCTTCCTTCCTCCTTCCCTTCCTTCCTTCCTCTTTCTTCTTCTCTTTCCTCCCTCCCTTTGTCTTTTCTTCCTCTTTTTCCCTTCTTCTTTCCCTCCCTCTCTTCCTCTTTCTCCTTCCTCTTCCTTCCTCCTTTTTGTCCTTCCTTCCTTCTCTCTTTCCTTCTTCCTTCCCTTTCCTTCCTTCCATCACCGGGAAGCCAGTCCTCTTAGCAGGGAGTGCTAGCATGTGGCCCCCAAGTTAGAAAGTTTGCCCATGCCTGATCGATCGATCGATTGATCTATCTATCTATCTATCTATCTATCTATCTATCTATCTATCTATCTATCTATCATCTATCATCTATCTATCTGTGGCACTGAAATGAGCGTGCATCTTGCAATCAATGCCATCGTACAATTGATTCAATTTAATAATGACAAAAGAGGGAAAGCCTACATAATCTCAATTCAGATTAACTTCAGATTCAAGCGGCAACGTGGAACAGGAAGGCTTTGTTGTTATAGTCAATGTATTCTCTACTTTATCCCATTGCCATTCCAGAGGGAATCGTACACCAATATATAATGTCTAGAAGAGAGACTAAACTTTCTGCCCAAGGAATCGGAAACAACCAGAGCCCGTTCTACAAGACTGAGACTGTTACCCTTTCCGCAAACTCACCTGTGTGGGAACCTTTGGGTTTTTGGCCTCTTCCGTGGGCAGACGTGGCCCGTGTGCTCCCTTTGAATGTCCCGTGAGGATGATTAAGGCTCTTGCCAGCTCAAGGTCTTTAAAGTCAGATCAGGAGCAGCGCAGACTCCTGGGGTGACCCCGGGCTTTCCTTGATCCCGATGGGCGACAGCTGGGCAGATGGCACCTTGTGCGAGGGATGACACCCATCTGCCCGTCATTGGGACGTGCTGCTCACCTGAGACACATTGCCCCAGTTGTAAGGGAACTTGAGGCTCTCGGCACAAAAATAGCAAACTCCTTGTCCTCGGGATTTATTCCAAACACAGGCGGTGCCCGTGTTGTGCATTTTTAACTACAAATACTCATTGTTAGTGTTATGCTTTTACTAGCGTATTTACCCAGCGTTGCCTTTATCTTCCTTCCTTTCCTACCTTCCCTGCTTTCTTCCCCATATCTTCTTTCTTCCCTTCATTCCTCTTTCCTTCTTTTTTTCCTCCCCTCAAACCTTTTCCCTTTCTCTTTTTCAGTAAGGCCTTCGACAAGGTCCCCCATGACCTTCTGGCAAACAAACTAGTCCAATGTGGGCTAGGCAAAACTACGGTAAGGTGGATCTGCAATTGGTTAAATGGACGAACCCAGAGGGTGCTCACCAATGCTTCCTCTTCATCCTGGAAAGAAGTGACGAGTGGAGTGCCATCACGAGGGTTCCGTCCTGATCAGGATCTTCATTCATGACTAGATGAAGGGTTAGAAGGCAGGATCATCAAGTTTGCAGACAGGACCAAATTAGGAGGGAGAGCCAATACTCCAGAGGACAGGAACAGAATTCAAAATGATCTTGTCAGATTAGAGAGATGGGCCAAAACTAACAAAATGAAGTTCAACAGGGACAAATGCAAGAGACTCCACTCTGGCAGGAAAAACGAAATGCAAAGATACAGAATGGGGGACAATGCCTGGCTCGAGAGCAGTACGTGTGAAAAAGATCTTGGAGTCCTCGTGGACAACAAGCTAAACATGAGCCAACAATGTGATGTGACTGCAAAAAAAGCCAATGGGATTTTGGCCTGCATCGATAGGAGCATAGTGTTTAGATCTAGGGAAGTAATGGTACTCCTCTATTCCGTTTTGGTTAGACCACACCTGGAATATTGTGTCCAATTCTGGGCACCACAATTCAAGAGAGATATTGATAAGCTGGAATGTGTCCAGAGGAGGGCGTCTAATATGATCATGTAAGCCACTCTGAGTCCCCTTCGGGGTGAGAAGGGCGGCATATAAATGTCATGAATAAATAATAAATAAATACAAATAAATGTCCCCATTCAGCCATTCTCTACCCTCCTACTCCCAATATATAGGCCATGTCTAGTATTGTCTCCCACGAATTGGAGCATTTACCAAGGATTTTGCTGTCCAAAGCAATCGATCACAGGAGCGCTTCAGAGGGGCTTAGAGAAGGCTTAGATGGCTGTAAGCGTGAGCCATGGGTCTCTCAGGCCAAGGGCAAACAATGGCAGGTGGTACTCTGGCCTCAGTCTTAAGCCTCTTACAGCAAAAGAAGTAGGGGAGGGGGGCAGGCAAGAAATGGGCTGACAGCAATACTCTGAAAGGTTGGTTACACCTGGGTGCTAACTCCACACAGTCTCCCTTCTCTAGCTTGTCTATATCTTGTCCGTCCATTGATTTGCACATGTGGAGTTGCACTCTTCCAAAACAACAACACTGTGATAAAACCAGAGAATTTCAGGTCGATCCCCAACTAAGTTCCAGAAAGCACCAAGAGTATTTGACACAAGCTGCCCTTCCCAATGTTCTTTCCCCCTTTTTAACAAGGATGATGAAGGTGGCATCCTTGAAGTCTGCTGGAATTTCCTCGGTCACCCACACTTTTTCAGTGAGCTGGTGGAGTTGCTGTGTCAGCTCAGGTCCACCCGCTTTAATTTTTTTTGCAGGGATCCCATCAGGTCCGCTGGCTTTGTTTTTGTTTTGTTTTTTTGACTGATAGCATTGTTAACTTCCTCCAGACAAGCTCATCCGTGGTTTGTTGTTGTTGGATTTGCAAGATAATCTCTTTGGCCACACTGGAGTTGTGATTCAAGAGGTTGTAGCAGTGCTCTTTCCAACATAGTGTGATTTTTTTGTCCTTCAGAAGTTTGGTTCCATCTGATGAGCATAGAGCAAGTGGATCTCAACCTGTCTTCTGTGTGCCCAGGAGGGAGTTTCTCATCTGGTATCAGCCACTGACTGAGGTGCTGAATTTTAGCCTGCCACTTTTGGGCTCTCGCTTGCTGAGGTATTCCTTTGTAGATTTTAGGAAGCTGTTTCTTGATTTAAAGTGTTGGCATGCTGGCTGATATCTGAACAGAGGATGGGCTGGAGTTCCCGCTGCCTTGACCTTTTCATTATTGGCTTTTCATTATTGGCTGTTACTTCCCAGCGGATGTCAGGTTCTGCAATACCGGCTAAATAGCAACATTTCTTCAGTGGTGTAGGACATGGACATCCTGTGATAATGAACACCTTCGACAACACCCTCTATGCCAGTGGTTCTCAACCTGTGTGTCCCCAGGTGTGTTGGGTTACAACTCCCAGAAATCCCAGCCAGTTTACCAGCTGTTAGGATTTCTGGGAGCTGAAGGCCAAAACATCTGGGAACCCACAGGTTGAGAACCACTGGCGTAGAGGGTGTTGTCGAAGGTGTTCATGGCTGGTATCACTGGGTTGCTGTGAGTTTTCCAGGCTGTCTGGCCTGGAAAACTCACATTCCAGAAGCATTCTCTCCTGATGTTTCACTCACATGTTCCAGAAGCATTCTCTCCTGATGTTTCACCCACATCTATGGCAGGCGTCCTCAGAGGTTTTGAGGTGTGTTGAAAACTAGGCAAGTGAATAGTTTATTTGCTGGGATTGTGTCTTCTTGCATGGCAGAATGGGGTTGGACTGAATGATGTAAACTTCTTGAGGCAGAGGAACTTTAAGGCCGCAGATTCTAACTGGGTTCCCACGAGACCAGGCAGGAGCAATTCAAAAGGCAGAGCCATGGTATTAATTCACTTATTTATTTTTACACAAAGCCTGTACAAAACCCATATAAAACTCTGGCATCGGAAGGGGGCGATGGTGATTATCCAAAAATAACGCCCAAAGGGGATTTTAAATTACAGCAGTAGGGAATGGAGCTATCTGCAAGAGGAATGGAGGGACATGAACCCAGAGGGACTTTTATTTACACAGCATGGGAAGGGTTGCCATAGGGTTTTCCTGTATGTTATTATATATACATTATTTCACATATAAACAAGCTTTACATGATTTTTTAAAAAAAGGAAACCCGGAGTGTCGGGGGAGAGAGGGTCGGGTCTGGATTTCCTCGGTATTGTCTCTTGAAAAGCACCAAAATGGACCCGTGCGCATCCCGCCGCACCAGCCTCCACAGGGGCCAATTGTGCGAAGGAGCGCCTTGCATGCGAAGGGGAAGGGAGGCTTGGGAAGGCGCATCAGTCACCGGCTGATGTCTCGGCTGGCGTCCCAAGGCTTGGGGCCCGGCGGCTGTGGGGGTTTGAGGGAGTCAAAGAAGGGGTGCTTCACGGCCTCGGCCAAAGTGAGCCGCTTGGCCGGCTCGTACTCCAGCATGCCCTCAATGAGGTCAAAGAGCTGGTGGTGCTCCTCCGCTTCGGACGCCAGGTATCTCTGCAAAGGAGAGGACACATGTGTTTATTGATTTGTACAGAGTTTGTCCGAGTTTCACTACACCAAAGAAAGAGAATCTGATGATAAGAGCTATTCAGCAATTAAATATTTGGCAATGGAATGGGGTTATTTTATTTATAAATAGCTGTACCCACCACGCGTTGCTGTGGCCAACCTTCCTTCCCTCCCTCTTTCCTTCTTTCCCTCTTTTTCTTTCCCTTCTTCTTTCTTCCTTCTCTACCTTGTTTCTTTTCTTGCTTCCTTTGCTCTTTGGTTCTATCCTTCCTTGTCTCTTTCCTTCCTTCCCTCTCTCTTTCGTTCCTTCACACCTTCCTTCCCTCTTTCACTTTTTTATTTCATTCCCTCCCTCCTTCTCTACCCTTCTTCTCTCCCCCTTTCTCTCCCTCCTTCCTTCTCTACTTTTCTTTCTTTCCTTCTTTCTCTCCTTCCCTCCTTCTTTCCCTCCCTCCTTCTCTCCTTCCTTCCTCCACCTTTCTTTCCTTCTCTCCTTCTTTTCCTCTTTCTCTCTTCCTTCCTTTCTCCCTTCTCTTTCTCTTTCTCCTTCCCTCCTCTTTCCCTCCTCTCCTCCTTCCTTCTCTACCCTTCTTTCTTTCCTTTCTTCTCTCCTTCCTTCTTTCTCTCCCTCCTTCTCTCCTTCCTTCCTTCTGTATCCTTCTTTTTTTCCTTCCTTCTCTCTTTCCCTCCTTTTTCTCTCTCTCTCTCCCTCCTTCCTTCTCCCTTCCTTCTTTCCTTTTCTCTCCCTCCTTCTCTCCTTCTTCCTTCTCTTTTCTTCTTCCCTTCTTTCCCTCTTCTCTCCTTACTTCCTTCTCTACCCTTTCTTTCCTCCTTCTTTCCCTCCTCTGCTACGAGGGATATTTTTTAAGTAAGGTCCGTTTTGTTGTAGACACTAGTAGTTCGCGCGCATACCGCAACGGGCACGTGCCTCGTGTACCAGCGTGCCTTGTGTACCGGCATGCCTCGGGAACAACTGTGCTCAGTTTCCGCTCTGTAGCTAACCTGTACGGTTCTGTTCTGTGCTTTAAAAATGTTTAAGACTATCAACTCACCCTCCGCAGGTGAGGTTCGCTCAGTGATACGGTTTTTGTCAGCAAGGAACCTGCCTGCTGCAGAAATTCATCGACAGATTTGTGAAGTGTACGGTGATACTGTTATGAGTGAAAGCAAAGTGCGTAAGTGGGTACGACAATTCAAAGATGGCCGTGACAACGTCCATGATGAGGACTGCTCCGGTCGCCCTTCTTTGATTACAGACGATTTGGTTATCGGAGCAGGCGGCAAGTTTTTATGAAGAGGGTATTTTAAAATTGGTTCAGAGGTATGATAAGTGTTTGAACAAACTTGGCAACTATGTCGAAAAATAGAGTGAAGTATGTACTTTCTGAAAAGAAATTTGCTTTTTTGAAATAAACTTTTGTTGTGTACTTATGTTCAAATGGACCTTACTTAAAAAATACCCCTCGTAAATACTGTAAATAAATAAAATAATTGGCCAACCACACAGACTGGAACACTATATTATAATGCTAATGCTAAAAATTAGAATAAATTGCTATATATAGAGAGAGAGAGAGGGAGAGAGAGATCAGTTTCAGATCTGGTTCAGAACAACAAGCAATTTGTATTCAAATAATAAACTTCCAACAAGTTTTAGTATTAAATCCTTCCATTTCAAAGCTCCCTACTTGAGCAATGATGGCACGATCATCAGCATGTGGTAAAGTCTGGAGATTTTCAAAGCAGAGGCTGGATGGTCATCTGTCAGGAGAGCTTTGATAGTGTCTCTCTGCATGGCAGAAGGGAATTAAACTGGATGGCCCTTGGAGTTTCTTCCAACTCAAGTGGAATATAGAATAAGGGTTCTCCTTCTCTGGAATTCTTTAAGCAGAGGCTGGGTGGCCATCTGTTGGGAAGGCTTGAATAGTGTATTACTGCCTGGCAGAAGGGAGTAGGACTGGATGGCTACTTGTTGAGAAGACTTTGAAGGTATGAAAGGATTGAGTGGCCCTTAGGGTCTCTTCCAACTCTATCATTCTATGATTCGAATATCCCAGGTTGATTTTCACTATTTGAACACACTTTTTGGAAAAAATCTCTGGAGGAAAGGCTTATCTTTTCATTAGTTTGGGACACCTCCCGAACTTTGGAAGGACTTGGCAACTCATCGCTCCAAAGGCTGGAAAGCATGTCTGCCTGTGAAACACTGCCACCTGCAGTAGGCAGAGAATCTTTTGGCCTTCCTGATATACCAGAGCACAATATTCAAACACCCCTTTACCAACTTCAAGGCCCGCAAGCCAAATCCGACCCGTTGTGTCATTTCATGCAATCCTGTATTCCTCATTATTTTATTATTCTGGTTATTTAATATTGAATGTTTATTTTACTTAAGTGATATTTGTCTTTACCATTCTAATGTAGCACAAATCCTATGTAAAATCATACTACGTATTTTTGACATTAATATTGAAATCTGAAATATATACAGAAAGTCTGCGATGCAGTAAAATCTGGGGGGCTGCTGTTTGTTCTGTTTAGTCAGGAGAGTGGGCTTTGGATTTAGATGCAAGGCTTATGGAAACGAATCCTGACTTTAAAATGCCCATCAACCTTTCCCCAACCTCACAGCCAAAAGGGTAGTTTTGGACACGACACACACTTTTTGAACGAAGTAGTAGACATTATGTTGTTGTTGTTGTCCCTTCCGTTGCTGCTTTTTTACGCGGATAGAAAGAACTGAGCGCGGCCCCGTTTGAGGGCTATTTATAGAGGGGATTGAGGTGGGCGGGGCGGCTCTAACTGTCTTATTAGTCTCGAGACCTTTCCGTTGGCTGCGCGAGCGCGCAGGATTATACCATAGGTGCAAATACACAGGTGACCACTAGGGAAACTACGTTTACAGGTAAGCAACCTATATTTCCCAGTCAACATGGTGGATCACTAAAAGTGTATGGGAGCTGTCATTCAATAATATCTGGGGACCCAAGCTGGGTAAAAACTAAATAGCACAAACCACTATGTAAATATATACATATATATACACATTCACACACACACACACACACACACACACACCGTATATACTTGAGTATAAGCCGACCCGAATATAAACCGAGGCGCCTAATTTTACCACAAAAATCTGGGAAAATGGATTGACTCGAATATAAGCCGAGGGTGAGAAATGCAGCAGCTATGGGTAAATTTCAAAATAAAAATAGATACCAATAAAATTATATTAATTTAGGCATCAGTAGGTTAATTGTTTTTGAATATTTACATAAAAATGTAATTCAAGATAAGACTCTCCAACCTTAATTAAACCATTATTCTAACCTTCTTCAATGTAAATATGCTTACATGTCCTCCAATAATAATAGAGTAAAATAATAATAATAATAATAATAATAATAATAACAGAGTAAAATAATGGAATGTAATAATAACAATACAGTAAAATAATAAATGTAACAATAACAATAATAAAGAGAGTAAAATAATAAATGTAATAATAACAATAATAAAATAATAACTGTAATAATAATAACAACAAAGTAAAATAATAAATAACATTGACTCGAGTATAAGCCGGGGAGACTTTTTCAGCCTAAAAAAACGACTGAAAAACTAGGCTTATACTCAAGTATATACAGTATGTGTATGTATGTATGTATATGCATATATGTATGTGTATATATGTGTGTGTGTGTGTGTGTGTGTGGGTGTGTGTATATATATATCCCCCTCTGTATCCACAGATTCTCCTTCCATTCATTCAACGGCCCTTTGAAGGCAACCATAAGGCTGATGAGGCCCTCCATGACATAGTTTGGATGACATCACCTAAGCTGCCCTGTCTATCCTTTTTCCCGGAACCTAAACACCTTTCAGATCAATCTTTCTTTCGTATGAAGCAGTAATACCAGCTTACCCGCAGTGGCTTGCAGTTCTCCCGCACATAGCGCCCTGCGGAAGTGTTTTCATCCCAATCTAGGCGGCCATGATAGAAATATTTCTGCTTCCTGGGGAGGAATGCAACATGCCAAGGGTGGTCAGTTACTCAAAAAGTCACTGCGGCATAAATACAGATACAGTAGAAGTCAAACACATACATTAAAAGATGCAAATAACTTATTTCCTTGATATAACCCCTTCATTGGATTGCTGTGAGTTTTCCTGGCTGTATGGCCATGTCCCTGACATTTTGCCTACATCTATGGCAGGCTTCCCCAGAGGTTGTAAGGTCTGTTGGAAACTAGGCAAGTGGAGTTGATATATCTGTGGAATGATGTCCAGGGTGGGAGGAAGAAATCTTGTCAGTTGGAAGCAAGTGTGAATGTTGCAATTTGCTAGTGAAATGTCAGGAGAGAATGCTTCTGGAACATGGCCAGACAGCCCGGAAAACTCACAGCAACCCAGTGATTCCAGTCATGAAAGCCTTCGACAACACATAACTCATAATTTATTTAATATTCTATCTATCCCACCCAACTGAGACTCATAGGGGTTTTTTTTGGGGAGGGGGGGGATCTCACCAAACTAGATAAACTACACATTGTCACTTATAGCATCTTGTTCCTTGCTCAAGTACAAGTAGTTGTGCCTCCATGTTATGCCACAGTTCTCTTTCTAGCCACAAAGCAAGGCATCTGCTCTTAATAATAATAATAATAATAATAATAATAATAATCTTTATTTATACCCTGCCACCATCTCGGAGCGGCTTACATGAGCCCAAGCCCAAACAACAAATTAATATGTCTCATCTTCCCCAATTCCAAAAGCAACGGGTGTCACTCACCTGGTCTTCCGGGTCATACGGGACGGGATGGGACCCAGGATCCGCTCCATCATGGCCAGATGTTCTCGGTTGTCGTGGGTCTGGATAAACACATTTAGAAGGACAATGGGGAAGAATGATACCTTTCACAGCCTTAAAAGGTTCAACTATTTGATCTCAGTGTTTATCACTGCTATTTAAAGACACAAATATTTAATATTTTTTTAACTCTGCTTTTAAAAATTGTATTTGGATGCCTAAATTTGCATTTTACTTATCTTACAGCTGTTTAAGGCTGGTCACGGAAATAAAATATCCATTCAGGCATGATTGCACCATAGCATCTAATAATAATAATAATAATAATAATAATAATAATAATAATAATACTTTATTTATACCCCGCCACCATCTCCCCAAGGGACTCGGAGCAGCTTACATGAGGCCAAGCCCAACAACGCATCAATAAAACAGGAAAGCAACAAACAAAACAATACAAATTAATATAAATCACATATAAACAATAGCACACAAGGATTTAATCTTATAATTAGAAGAGACCCCAAAGGCCATCCAGTCCAACCCCATCCTGCCAGGCAGGAAAAGCACAATCAAAGTGCCCCCAAGAGATGGCCATCCAGCCTCTGTTTAACAAAGGAGCCCCCACCGGACTTCGAGGCAGAGAGTTCCACTGTTGAACTGCTCTTCTTATGGTGAGGCTATTATTCCTAATGTTCGGTTGGAATCTCCTTTCCGGTCATTTGAACTCATGGCTCCACTGAGTTCTAATCTCCAGGGCAGCAGAAAACAAGCCTGCTCCCTCTTCCTTATTTTGACTCAGGTCCAAGCATTCTTTGCAAGAATCCCAGAAACTATATTAAGGAGACTGATTATATTACAATCCAGTTGTGAGATAGATTAGCCAAGCCACCTAATTTTATTTATTATTTATTTATATTATTTATATTCTGCCCTTCTCACCCTGGGCGGATTACAATGTACACATATATGGCAAACATTCAATGCCAAAGACACACAACAGATATAGACAGACAGTCAGAAGCTATTTAACTTTTCTGGCCACCAGGGGAGCTGTCGCTTTCATCGTCCATCTGCGACAATGATGAAGTACTTCCGCATTCCCCGCATGTTTTGCTGGCATCTTTTTTATGGCCTTGTAAATTAGTTAAATTAGCCTCCCCACACATAGGTGGTACCTGATTTTCCTACTTGACAGATGCAACTGTCTTTTGGGTTGCAAAGGTCGACAACAAGCTACACAATTGGTCGGAAGCTCACTCCGACCCGGGCTGGCTTCAAACTCATAACCTTTTGGTCAGAAGTGATCTGACCACAAAAAACTGGGGAAACGTATTGACTCGAGTATAAGCCAAGGATGAGAAATGCAGCAGCTACCGGTCAATTTCAAAAGAAACATACCAATAAAATTACATTAATTGAGGTATCAGTAGGTTAAAAGATTTTGACTATTTACATAAAACTGTAATTTAAGATAAGTCTGTCCAACTTTGATCAAACCATGGTTCTAACCTTCTGCAATGTAAATGTGCTTACATATCCTTCCAATAATAATAGAGTAGAATAATAAATGTAATAAAAATGATAATAAGTAAAATAATGGAAATGTAATAATAACAGTAATAATAGAGTAAAATAATAAATGTAACAAAAATAGAGCAAAATAATAATGTAATAATAATAATATAGTAAAATAATAAATGTAAGAAAATAATAGAGTAAAATAATAAATATAATACACATATTAATAGAGTAAAATCTATATAAATAAAAATGTAATGTTTGTTTGTGGGATTAACAGAACTCAAAAACCACTGGACGAATTGACACCAAATTTGGACACAAGACACCTAACAGTCCAATCTATGTCCTTCACTCAAAAAATTGATTTTGTCATTTGGGAGTTGTAGTTACTGGGATTTATAGTTCACCTACAATCAAAGAGCATTCTGAACCCCACCAACGATGGAATTGGGCCAAACCTCCCACACAGAGCCCCCATGTGGGCCACAGCAACACGTGGCAGGGGACGGCTAGTAATCTATATAAATAAAAATGTAATGTTCGCTTATGGGATTAACATAACTCAAAAACCACTAGACGTATTGACGCTAAATTTGGACACAATACACCTATCAGGCCAACGAGTGACCATCACTCATAAAAACACTGAAAAACACTGCAGAAGAGAAGCCAACAAATAAAAAATACATTACAACGCATGTGCAAAACCGCATATATAAGCAAACACACATATGTACACATATACACAAATATTCACACACACATATACACTGAAATACACACACAAAACACATATAAACAGACTGGGGCACAGCTATGCATGGCAGGGGACGGATAGTGTAAATGTAATAATAGTAATAAATGCAGTAAAATAATAAATGTAATACAAATAATAAGAGTAAAAATATAAATGTAATAATAACAAGAAAGTAAAATCATAAATGTAATAATAATATTAGAGTACAATAATAAATGTCATAATAATAATAGAATAAAATTAATGTAATAATAAAAATAAATAGAGTAAAGTAATAAATACAAATAATAATAGAATAAAATAATAAATGTAATAAAAATAATAATAACAATAGAGTAAAATAATAAATAACTTTGACTCGAGTATAAGCCAATGGGGGTTTTTTAAGCCTAAAAAAAGGACTGAAAAACTCAGCTTATGCTCGAGCATATACGGTGAGTCTTTTTTTGGACTGTCATTCCCAGTGTGATTGAAGTCCAATCCCAAAACAGTTCAAGGGGCATCAGGTTGCCTATTCCATCAAGACACGAATCTGCCTTGCACTTGGTACACTCACCTGAAACAAGGTGAAACCCATGTAGTATTCAAAGATGATGCATCCGGTGCTCCAGACGTCACAGGGCTGGGCCCAACCAAGCTCTGCAGAGATTATGGGAAATGTGATCTCATTGAGCACTAATCCAACCGAAGCACTGCAAACACACACTCAGAACCCAACAGCCCCGTCATGCTGACCTAGAATGACCTCTGGAGCCCGATAGTGCCGCGTAGAGACAATGGTGCTGTGATGCTCATGGTCGAAAGTGGCGCTGCCGAAATCGACCACCCGGACTGCTGTGTTCTTGACACTTCGCTCATCTCGCTTCTTGTGGGGAAGGCAGGGAAAGCGGGATGGGGGAGAAACAGTGGTTAAGGGTACAGAAAAGAGACATCTTTAGTTTCCCCTGCTTGGCTCCCAGTCCATCTGATCTTCTGACTGGCGCTAGTACAGCAGGGCATGGGCAAACTTAGGCCCTCCAGGTGTTTTGGACTACAACTCCCACCATTCCTAACAGCTTCAGGCCCTTTCCTCCCCCCCACCCCATCTCCCAAGGGACTCGGTGCGGCTTTCATGAGACCGAGCCCAAACACAACAATACAGGCAATGATCACAATACAAGCAATTAAAATAAAACATAGACGATAAACATATAACATTATCAATAAGATGACATACAATTAAAAACTATGGGTAGGCCAAAAGTAAAAATTAAAATTGGAAATAGTGCTGAGGCATGGACAAAAAGGTGATAGTGGCGTTTGTGGAAGACATATGAGCAGACCTAAAAATATAAAGTGCTATGGGATCATTATTCCGGGAAGGCACACTGGAACAACCACGTCTTCAAGCACCTCCTAAAGACTGCCAGGGTTGGGGCCTACCTGATGTCTTTGGGAAGTGAGTTCCAGAGTCGGGGGGCCACCACTGAGAAGGCCCTGTCCCTTGTCCCCACCATTCGCACCTGCGAAGGAGGTGGGATCGAGAGCAGGGCTTCTCCAGATGAACGAGGAGATTGTGTGGGTTCGTACACAGAAATGCGGTCACGCAGGTAGGCGGGTCCCAAACCGTTCAGGGCTTTGAAGGTAAGAACCTGCACCTTGAATTGGGTCCGGTAGATGAATGGCAGCCAGTGGAGCTCCTTGAACAGCAGGGATGACGGCTCCCTGTAAGGAGCTCCAGTTAACAACCTGGCTGCCGCCCGTTGGATCATCTGAAAATTTCCGGGCCGTTTTCAAGGGCAGCCCCACGTAGAGTGCATTGCAGTAATCCAGTCTAGAGGTGACCAAGGCGTGGACCACCCTGGCCAGATCCGCCTTCACGAGGTATGGTCACAGCTGGCGCATGAGTCTTAATTGTGCAAAGGCCCTCCTGGCCACCACTGACGCCTGAGCCTCAAACGTAAGTGAAGAATCCAGGAGGACCCCCAAACTGTGGACCTGTGATTTCAGGGGGAGTGCAACCCCGTCCAGCACAGGTTGCCACCCTTGGGCCTCATCCGGGATTGTACTTCTGAATGTAAACAAAGGCTTAAGCGGCTGAGACGGGGAAAAGGAAAGGGCCTGAGGCTGTTAGGAATGGTGGGAGTTGGAGCGCCCAAGTTGACCCACGGGAGGGGGGGGGGTTACTCTTAGGATTGTGCCCATTTCTGTGCGATTAGGACAATGCAAAATCGATTTCTCAAAACCATGCGCTCACCTTTTCCAGGTTGTAAGTCATTTCATAATCTGAATTGACAAAGAGGATGTTTTCCGGTTTGAGGTCTGTATGAGTGAGCTTGTTTTCATGCAAAACTGCAAGGGGGTGGGAGATACAGAAGAGGGGGGAAAATACTTCATTTTTAGAATTAAGAATGGAACATAAGTTAATAAACACAGCTTCTTAAATTGTGAAACCCGACTCCATTTAGCTCTATGATGGGGTCACATGTGGCAACAGTTAAAAGTGTCTGAATGCCACCTGTTCACATAAATCTGTTAGCAACACCATGCAATGTTTACAGTGGACTCTGCAGAAGCTTCAGCCATGCTTCATAAAAAAGGAAAACCAGTCTGTTTAGCAAGCCTTGCCAATCTTGATTTGTTTTCAGTACATGTTTGATTATCATACCTTTTTATATTTCGTATATACTTGAATATAAATAATGTAAATTTAATAATAATAATAGAGTAACATAATAAAAGTAATAAGACTAAAATGTAAATGTAATAATAATAATTAGAGTAAAATAATAAATGTAAGAATAATAGAGTACAATGATAAATGTAATACTAATGGAATAAAAATTAATGTAATAATAACAACAATAAATAGAGTAAAATAATAAATGTAAATAATAATAACAGAATAAAATAATACATGGAATAAAAATAATAAGAGTAAAAATGTAAGTGTAATAATAACAATAGAGTAAAATAATTAATGTAATAATTATTAGAGTAAAATAATAAATGTAAGAATAATAATGGAGTATAATAATAAATGTAATAATAATGGAATAAAAATTAATGTAATAATGACACAAATAAATAAGAGTAAAATAATAAATGTAAATAATAAAAAGCAGAATAAAATAACACATGAAATAAAAAAATAAAGAGTAAAAATGTAAATGTAATCATAACAATAGAGTAAAATAATAAATGTAATAATAATAATTAGAGTAAAATAATAAATGTAAGAATAATAGAGTACAATGATAAATGTAATACTAATGGGAAAATTAATGTAATAATAACAACAACAAATAGAGTAAAATAATAAATGTAAATAATAAGAATAAAATAATAAATGGAATAAAAATAATAACAACAGAGTAAAATAATAAATAACTTTGACTCGAGTATGAGCCGAGAGGGGCTTTTTCAGCCTACAAAAGGGCTGAAAAACTCAGTTTATACTTGAGTATATACAGGATCTACAATCCCAGGGTCATGTAAAAAATTCTCAGGCAGAAAGTGAATGGGAATAGTTTAAGAAGCCCTGATTTAAAAAGGAATAGTTCTTTTAAACCCACTTTTTACCAATGATACACCCCTTCTTGGCTCTCATGCTCCTTGTGCCCACTCCTAATATACTCACATTTGACAGCCTGGCACACTTGGTAGGCCATATGCCTGATCTGATGGAGCGGGTAAGGCAGGTAGTTGTTGTCCTTCAGGAAGTCAAAGGTGCTGAGCCCCAGAAGCTCAAAGGAAATGCACATGTGACCGTGGTAGTCAAACCAATCGTACATCTGGACACATAGGCTGGAAAGGAAAATGGAAAACAAGATACAAATGAATGAAAAATATAATGGGGATGCACTAAGTCTTCTATTGGAGGCATTCAGGAAGATATATGTTAACAACAAGGACGAAAGGCTGAAAATACAGTAATAAGTTGGTTCTGGTATTTCATGTAAAACATTAAATAGTTGCATTGGCCATCCAGTCCAACCCCCTTCTGCCCGGCGGGAAAAGTACAATCAAAGCACTCCAGACAGATGGCCACCCAGCCTCTGTTTAAAATCCTCCAAAGAAGGAGCTTTCACTACAAGGCAACCCCTCCCGCAATTTCCTCAGGACCCCGTCTGGCAAAACTACTCACTTTTTGTTTTCCGGATCTTTCTCGTTAATCTTCTCAAGGACATTGATCTCCAAACGAGCTGCCTCTTTGTACTTTTCCACATTCTTTATTATTTTGAGAGCCACGCGTGTGTTGCCCCTGCAGAGTAGAATTTATATTATTTTTAATGTGTTTTTATTATTAGGGTTTGTGTATTTTATGATGCTCTTATTTTATTTTTATTTCTTTTTTCATTTTGCAGTTTTAAAATTATGTGTCGTTATTTGTTTACAGTTAAGTTGTTTATATTCTCTAATGCAGGGGTCCTCAAACTTTCTAAACAGAGGGCCAGGTCACAGTCCCTCAAACTGTTGGAGGGCCTGATTATAATTTGAAAAAAACATGAATGGATTCCTATGCACACTGCATATATCTTATTTGTCGTGCAAAGGACACTTACAATACAATAATTTTAATGCAATAATTAATACAATAATTAATACAATAATTAAAATGAAGAACAATTTTAACAAACATAAACTTATTAGTATTTTAATGGGAAGTGTGGGCCTACTTTTGGCTGATGAGATAGGGTTGTTGTTGTTATTGTGTGCTTTCAAGTCATTTCATACTTAGGTTGACCCTGAGTGGGGGCCGGGTAAGTGACCTTGGGGGGCCGTATCCAGCCCTCGGGCCTTAGTTTGAGGACCCCTGGTCTAATGTGCCTTGTCTGGATGTAAACCGTTGTATGGTTTTCTTTAGGCACTGAATGGTTATTATTATTATTATTATTATTATTATTAACTTTATTTATACCCCGCAAAATCTCCCGAAAGACTTGATGCGGCTTACAAAGGCCAAGGCCGCCGACAACAACAACATACAATACAGAATAAACTCATAAGCAAATAATAAAACATCAAGCAAAACAATAAGACAATAAAACAATGACACCGTGACGCAATTAAAACCAAAGGCCGGGACAAAATTTAAAAAGTGCTGAACTTGACAGGTAATATGTAGAGGTATTTGGAGGTAGGTGCAATGTGCAGATAATCCTGAATCTCTAGCAAGGTGCATTTGGGACTTGAAGCCAGGAGTTTCCTATACTGGAAAGGCACACTGGAACAGCCAGTTCTTCAGGCTCTTCCTAAAAACAGCCAACGTTGGGGCTTGTCTGATGTCCTTGGGGAGAGAGTTCCAGAGTCGGGGGGCCACCACAGAGAAAGCCCTGTCCCTCGTCCCCAACAAACACGCCTGCGACGCAGGTGGGATCGTGAGCAGGGCCTCTCCAGATGATCGGAGGGAGCATGCGGGTTCGTAAACGGAGATGCGGTTGCCATATCTTAGAAACCACCCTGAGTCCCTTCGGGGAGATAGGGCYGTCTATAAATTAAAAWAWATATATTATTTATTATATGTATATTTTGTATTCTATGGGAGTGGTTTTTGCTTCATTTTTCTTAGTTCTCGTAATTTAATTTAATTTTTTTTGCCGTGTCAGGAGTGACTTGAGAAACTGCAAGTCGCTTTTGGTGTGAGAGAATTGACCGTCCGCAAGGACGTTGCCCAGGGAACACCTGGATGTTTTGATGATTTTACCATCCTTGTGGGAGGCTTCTCTCATGTCCCCGCATGAGGAGCTGGAGCTGATCCGCGCTTGGTGTCATTGTATTGTTGTCATTGCYCAAGGACTGTGGCGCAGCTGGTTGAGTGCATTAAGATCACTTCTGACCAAAAGGTTATGAGTTTGAAGTCAGCCCAGGTCCGAGTGAGCTTCCGACCAATTGTGTAGCTTGTTGTCGACCTTTGCAACCCGAAAGACACTTGCATCTGTCAAGTAGGAAAATTAGGTACCACCTATGTGTGGGGAGGCTAATTTAACTAATTTACGAGYCCATAAAAAAGACACCAGCAAAGCATGCGGGGAATGCGGAAGTACTTCATCAGTGTCGCAGATGGATGATGAAAGCGACAGCTCCCCTGGCGGCCAGAAAAGTTAAATAGCCTCTGACTGTCTATATCTGTTATAAGCTTCCCAAGTGCGGCTGGTGGGAACGAGAGACAGGGCCTTTTCTGTGGTGGCCCCTCGGCTTTGGAACACCCTCCCTATAGAGATACGATCAGCCTCTTCGCTGATGGTGTTTCGGAAGAGATTAAAAACATGGTTGTGTAAACAAGCATTCGGTTAGTTTGTTATCACCGAATTTTATGGACTAAGGACTGGTTAATTATGGATGACGAATTCTGGACTGTGATTTTAGTGACGAGATACATGGTATTATTATTGGTGGCCCAATAATTTGTATTGTCTATGTGTTGTTGTTTTAAATTGTATATTGTTTTTAATTGTTGTAAACCGCAATGAGTCGCCGACTTAGGCTGAGATATTAGCGGTATACAAGTGTATTAAATAAATAAATAAATAAATAAATCTTGTCTCCTGGATATGCCATCAGCTGGAGACCCGTCCCACCAACACCGACTGTCGCTCTGGGCCAGAGTGAAGGCCAGGGGACAGTTCCACCTTGTCTCTTGTGCTATTTTAATAATATAATATAACATATTGTATATACATATAGTATTTATACTATTATAATGTAATGCAATAAAATAATAACATTATGATATTATAATTATATATTTATATTACATGTATTATTACTAATAATATTACAATATAGTGGTATGGTTTTTTTTAATTGTGTTAGGAGCGACTTGAGAAACTGCAAGTCGCTTTTGGTGTGAGAGAATTGGCCGTCTGCAAGGACGTTGCCCAGGGGATGCCCGGATGATTTGATGTTTTTATCATCCTTGTGGGAGGCTTCTCTCATGTCCCCGCATGAGGAGCTGGAGCTGATAGAGGGAGCTCATCCGCCTCTCCCCGGATTCGAACCTGCAACCTGTCGGTCTTCAGTCCTGCCGGCACAGGGGAAGGGTGGCATATAAATGCCATAAATAAATAAATAAATAAATCCGTTGTGTGTCTTTGGCATTGGATGTTTGCCATATATGTGTACATTGTAATCCGCCCTGAGTCCCCTGCGGGGTGAGAAGGGCGGAATATAAATACTGTAAATAAATAAATAAATAAATATTTTAGAAGTACGTTTTTGTTTTGTATGTTTGAATAAAAAATATTTCTATCTATCTATCTATCTATCTATCTATCTATCTATCTATCTATCTATCTATCTATATATATTTAAAGGAAATTTTGACTTTTTTAGCCCATGACTCCCAGGCAGCATGGCCACTAACTTGGCTTTTAACCATGGTTTTTAAGGACCCCAACATGTAGGTCTGCTTCATACTCAAACCGGTCCTCTTACCTGCGGTGATCCACGCACTGAACGACCCTTCCGAAAGTGCCCTCTCCAAGAGTACTAATAATCTCATCTAAGAAGAGAGAGAGAGAAAGAGAAAGAGAGAAGGAAGGGGAAAGAAAGAAGGCGGCATGAGATAGGGAAGAGTGTCCAGATGAAGCATACAAACACATCACCGCAAAGACTTCCTTTGCCAGCTCAAGGAGCCAGCCTCTGAGCAAGCTAAGAAAAATCCCTAACGTATCGGCATACGTGGTTAACAATATGGAAAGAAAATGGAGGAAGGGGAAATAAAAAGGAGCATTTTTTAAGAAAAACAATAAGGGCTGCTTGCTTAACAAAACATAACAAGGGAACAGGAGGGGAAAGCTAAGAGAACAACTGTGTGACTGTGAGGGGGAGCTTAACTAGAGACTAGATTATGTTACGATTTGGCTGTACATCTTTCTTGGAGCCAGTCGCCGATGCGATAGATGAGGTGGCCTTCGTCGTCGTCTTCCACGCTCTTGGCTCTCCGGCCGCTTGGTTGACTCTGCTGCGGGGGGCCCCCCAAAAGCGCAGACCCAGGTGGCGGAGGGTGGGGAGGGTTTTCGTTTCATGTGTCATTCATTCATTTCACCCGTTTGTCCACACCAGCGGAGGGGCCAAGCCACGCGTCGCCCAAGGACAAGGTCAGCCCGTGGCAGGTTTGGTGGTGGTGGTGGTGGTGGTGGAGGAAGGAGGAGGAGGGACGATTCCCAGGCCAATTCATACGGCACAGAGGCGCATATATATGTATAAAAACGATAAGGGATATTGCAAGGGAGAAAAAAACGTCAAGATAACACAGACTCGCTCAGGCTTTCTTTATATATATATATGTATGTATATATAAAAAAAATCACTAAATATATATATATCAAATAAGAAGAAAATGGTCATGCGAGAATACGTCCTGTAAACAGACCCACCCAAGTCAGCACCAAAAAAGAACAGGGCAGAAGAAAGATGAGCCTCACATCCTAGGATCCAAAAATGCTCCAAGAATATAGAAACTGGGTCACACCACTTATAAACCACAGAAAAGGGGAGGGCGACCATCTGAAACACGCACCAGCTCTCAACCCATTCCTCCACAAAACTGTGGAATGACCTGCCGCAAGAGAGTCGACAGCTAAATCAGATGTCAGACTTTAAGGCACAACTGAAGACCTAGTTGGGCAGATAATCTGACAGCGTGGTTCCTTGTTGCCAGCCAGCCATTGAGATTTATCCGGAAGCCAGCAGAACACCCAGTGAAAGTACCATATATACTCAAGTATAAGTCAAGTTTTCAGCCCTTTTTTAGGCTTATACGCTAGTCAAAGTTATTTATTGTTTTGTTCTGTTATTATTACTATTTTTACTACAATTATTATTTTACTCTATTATTATTATTATTGATACAAAAGCACAGTATGTCACAGCAAACGAGATCTATATGCTGGATTTCGTATCACAAAATCACAAGTCGAACTATTATTATTATTATTATTATTATTATTATTACATTAATATTATTTTACTCTATTAGGCTGTATGATCAAATCTGACTTGGCCATGGTGGTCCACGCTCTGGTTACATCCCGTATAGACTACTGCAACGCTCTCTACGTGGGGTTGCCTTTGAAGACTGTTCGGAAGCTTCAAATGGTTCAAGGTTGCTAACAGGAGCGGCGCCCGGGGAGCATACAACTCCTCTGTTGTGCCAGCTCCACTGGCTGCCAATCTACTACCGAGCACAATTCAAAGTGCTGGATTTAGCCTATAAAGCCCTAAACCAGTGGTTCTCAAACTTGTGGGTCCCCAGATGTTTTGGCCTTCAACTCCCAGAAATCCTAACAGCTGGTAAACTAGTTGGGATTTCTGGGAGTTGTAGGCCAAAACACAACAGGTTGAGAACCACTGCCCTAAACGGTTCCGGCCCTGCTTATCTGTCCAAGCGTATCTCTCCTTACGAACCCTCTAGGAATTTAAGATCTTCTGAGGAGGCCCTGCTCTCGGTCCTGCCATCTTCACAGGCTCGACTGGCGGGGATGAGAGACAGGGCCTTCTCAGCGGTGGCCCCTCGGTTGTGGAATGCCCTCCCCAGGGACATTAGATCGGCTCCCACCCTCTTAACGTTTCACAAAAAAGTCAAAACCTGGCTGTATGAGCAGGCTTTCCCAAACGCAGTGTAGCTGTTAAACTCTGATCTTGGAACGGTTGGACAACGTGACTGGATAATGATTGGTAATGAAATTCGGAGGACTTAATGGTTTTTATTATGTTTTATTGATGTTATTAGAATAATATATTGTATATACATATATTTATAATATTATAATGCAATATAATAATAATAAAATACTATATATTTATATTACATGTAATATTACTAATAATATTACGATATAGTGGTATGGTGCAATATAGCAATGTTTAATGCTGATATTGTACTATGCTAATAATATAATATATTGTATGTAATATATACCTTGTAAGCCGCTCTGAGTCCCCTTCGGGGTGAGAAGGGCGGCATATAAATGTCGTAAATAAATAAATGTTATTTGTAATGAATTTTTATCTATATTAAATATTTTTAATGTTTAATTATCTTTGTATTGCTGTGGGCATCGAATTGTGCCGTTTTGTAAACCGCCATGAGTCTCCCTTGGGCTGAGAATGGCGGTATAGAAATATTGTAAATAAATAAATAAATCTTGGGAAACTCAGCACAATTTGAGCTATATCTCCCAGAATCCCCGGTCAGGATTCGTTTTGCAAAATTCAGAGATTTGATATGGCAGAAACAAGCCATGATGGCAACACATGAGCTATCAGATAAAAGCCACATGGGCTTTCTAAGGGATCCAGTTGGCCTCCGAAATGGATGCAGGATTTAATGGGCTTCTGGTCCATTCCGGAAAGGGTTCTCCTTATGTTCTAAGTACAACAGGGCCACAAAATATAGGACAATCCATCAAAACAGGGATTTTTGCCCAATTCAAAAAGACCATGAGTATCAGCAAAAGTGCACATTAGTGGTCATCAAAACATCCAAACTACAGATGTATTTCCTCATGTCAACATAAGGTGGCCTTTAGGGGCTTGGCAGTTGCACCTCACACGATACTGTGGCAGCCAGGAAGTACTCACCGATGAAGACTGGCTAAAGGAGCGGCTATGACGGCGTCTCCGCCTCCGCTTTCGCCGACTGCTCTTGCAGCTGCGGTAGCTGTCATCATGGGAGCGCTGGTACTCATAGGAGTTGTGGTACTCAGCCTCGTAGTAGGCGTCGCCTCGCTCGCGGCTGTAGCCCTCTCGCCGGTAGCCATCACAGTATCGTCGGTCATAGGCTCGTCGATCAGATGAGTGGTCGTCGTAACTGAGAGAAGCCCAGGGACCAGAGAAAAAAAGAATCAGATCCAAGAGCAGAAGTCATATCTGGCCATGGTGGTCTATGCCTTAGTCACCTCCAAATTGGATTACTGTAATGCACTCTACGTGGGGCTGCCCTTGAAGACGGCTCGGAAATGTCAATTGGTTCAATGGGCGGCAGCAAGGATACTAACTGGAGTGACTTACAGGGAGCAGTCTACCCCCTTGTTTAAGGAGCTCCATTGGCTGCTGTTCATTTTCCGGTCCCAATTCAAGGTGCAGGTTCTTGCCTACAAAGCCCTGAACGGTTTGGGACACGCCTACCAAAGTGACCACATTTCTGTTTACGAACCCACATGATCTCTCCGATCATCTGGAGAGGCCCTGCTCTCGCTCCCACCCCCTTCGCAGGCGCGATTGATGGGGACYAGGAGAGGGCCTTCTCTATGGTGGCCCCCCGACTCTGGAACTCACTCCCCAAGGATATCAGACAAGCCCCCACATTGGCAGTCTTTAGGAGGAGCCTGAATACATGGCTGTTCCAGTGTGCCTTCCCTGAATAATAATAACAATAATAATAATAATAATAATAATAATAATAATACTTTATTTGTACCCCGTTACCATCTCCCCAAGGGACTCGGTGCGGCTTACATGAGGCCGAGCCCAAATACAACAATACAAGCAATAATAACAACAATACAAGCAATTAAAATAAAACTATAGGAAGGATAAATGTAAAACTAAAATTGAAAGTAATGCTGGAACATGGGCGAAAAAGTGATGGGGCATTTGTAGAAAACATACAAGCAGACCTAAAAAAAGTGCTTTGGAGGACAAAGTACTATGGGATCATTATTCTGGGAAGGCACACTGGAACAGCCTCGTCTTCAAACTCCTCCTAAAGACTGCCAGAGTTGGGGCATGCCTGATGTCCTTAGGAAGTGAGTTCCAGAGACGAGGGGCCACCACCAAAAAGGCCCTCTCTCTCGTCCCCACCAATTGCGAATAAGGAAATAATCCCTAGCAAAATGTCCTCAGAAGCACTTTAATGAAGGATGCTCTCCCTTCATTTCTTTTAAAACCCTCCTATCAGATACATCCTACCTCTGTTCATGCCCAGTGTTTATTTTTAAAATTTTAAACTATTACATTCGGCCCAGCCATAGGTTTTTTAAATCCTTGTGTGTTACTGTTTATATGTGAGTTATATTAACTGTATTGTTTTTGCTTATTGTTTTTTGTTTTATTGATGTGTTGTTGGGCTTGGCCTCATGTAAGATGCTCCGAGTCCCCTTGGGGAGATGGTGGCGGGCGTATAAATAAAGTTATTATTATTATTATATACATCCTTCCATAAAATACAAAAAATATTGTTAGACTTCAGATATTGTTAGACTTCAGCTACCCAATGCATATTCAGCTACTGAAACCAGTAGATCCAAAATATCTGGAGGACCAAAGACTATACATTCTCCTGTTTACCAAACTCTTGAGGCTTTCCCCCCCCCTAATGCATGAGTAGTAAAGTGTGTGATCATTATATGTTTTGGTCATAACTCTAATGGCTCTCTAGCGATGCTGGGGGACGCTACTGGTGTCCAACCAACTTGAACTTATCTTTGGCCAAGCATGTCAAAGAAGTATACAGTTCTGACTTTGGCCAACATAGTTGCCAATAGCCCCTGTTCCCACTCACCTTCGGGACCGGACATGGTAGCTGTCTTCCCTGCGATGTCGGCGCTCGCTGCTGCTTGACCGAGAGCGGCTCCGCCTCCGCTTGTGCTTGCGGCTTCTGTAACGTTCGTAGTAGCTTCCCCGGCTGCTGCGTTCCGACGAGCGGAACCTTCTGGAATGAGGCATCTGCAAATATGGAGACGAGTCTAAGTTCATGGGCATACACTTTCAAAACCCAAAGTGGCCTATATTTTATTTTTTATTTATTTGCGGCATTTATATGCCGCCCTTCTCACCCCAAAGGGGACTCAAGAGCGGCTTACAATATATATTTCCGTACAATATATTATATTATAAGCATAGTACAATATCAGTATTATATATTACTATATTGCACTATACCATTATATTGTAATATTATTAGTAATATTACATGTAATGTAAATTTATAATTATAATTATAACATTGTAGTATTATTAGTAGTAATATTATAATGTATTACATTATAATATTATAAATATTATATGTATATAATATTGGCACAAATACTCAATATGGCCAAATGTGAACACGATGGAGTGTGGGGAAAATAGACCTTGACATTTGGGAGTTGTAGTTGCTGGGATTTATAGTTCACCTACAATCAAAGAGCCTTCCGAACCCCACCAACGAAAGAATTGGGGCAAACTTCCCACACAGAACCCCCATGACCAACAGAAAATACTCAAGGCCATGCAGTCCAACTCCTTTCACCAGAGCAAGAAAACGTAATCAAAGCCCTCCTGACAAAGAGCCATCTATCCATAAATATAGATAGATATGATTCACACACAGAGAGATATAATATCATAGACTTGAAAGGGACCCCTAAAGAAGGACAATAATGTTACGTATCCCAGAGTAATAATAATAATAATAATAAACCTTTATTTGTACCCCGCTACCATCTCCCGAAGGACTCGGTGCAGCTTACAGTAGGCTGAAACCCAATACAACAATAAACAAGACAACAACAATACAGCAGTAAATAAAACTCAAGCAATAACATTAACAATAACAATACGACACAATTAAAAACCAAGTGTCAGGGCCAGATGTAATGGTTAAAATTTAAAAAGCTGGGCATGACCGGGTGAAATGGATAAATATTTTGGAGATAGGTAGGGCGTGCAGACAGTCCTAGATCTCTAGTAAAGTGCATTTGGGACAAGGTGCTTGGAGTTTCCTATTCTGGGAAGGCACACTGAAACAGCCACGTTTTCAAGCTCCTCTTAAAGACTGCCAACGTCGGGGCATGCCTGATATTTTTTGGGAGTGAGTTCCAGAGTTGAGGGGCCACCACAGAGAAGGCCCTGTTCCTTGTCCCCACTGTGATGCAGGGGGGATCGCAAGCAGGGCCTCTCCAGAAGATCAAAGAGATCATGTGGGTTTGTACACTGAAATGCGGTCACGCAGGTAAACCCCACGCAGGTAAACCCCAAACCGTTTAGGGCAGTGCTTCTCAACCTTGGGTCCCCAGATGTTTTTGGCCTACAACTCCCAGAAATCCCAGCCAGTTTGCCAGCTGTTAGGATTTCTGGGAATTGTAGGCCAAAAACATCTGGGGACCCCAGGTTGAGAACCACTGGTTTAGGGCTTTGTAGGTAAGCACCGGCACCTTGTATTGGGACCGGAAAATGAACGGCAGCCAATGGAGTTCCTTAAACAGGAGGGTTGACCACTTTCTGTAAGGAGCACCAGTTAACAATCTGGCAGCCGCCCATTGAACCAGTTGGAATTTCCGGGCCGTTTTCAAGGGCAGCCCCACGTAGAGCGCATTACAGTAATAGAGCGCATTACAGTAGTAGAGCGCATTACAGTAGTAGAGCGCATTACAGCAGTAGAGCGCATTACAGTAGTAGAGCGCATTACAGTAGTAGAGCGCATTACAGTAGTAGAGCGCATTACAGTAGTAGAGCGCATTACAGTACAGACACTCTCCACATCAACACTGACAAAGAAACAAGAAATACTGTTTATCCACAAGCATAAAGAAATTACATATATTAGGAACCAACGCTTTCTCATTACTTTATTTTCCAGATCACCAGACTGGGCCACAGCAATGCCTGGCAGGGGACAGCTAGTAACAATATAATAGCAATCATAATAATGCATTAATTGGTTACCCGCCTTCCCTAAGGGTTCAATGAGTCTCTACACTGACCATATAACGGGGATTCAAACAATATTATATGGCAGTGTAGATGGGGCCTACACCTCCTGTCTCCCAAAAGGCCTGGTTAGGTTACTCATCTCCATTTGCAAGTTTATTTCCCCAGATTAGATCTCTACTATAGTTCTTTTGCACCCAAGCACAGAGGAGACTACCACTGAGAAGCCACCAGTGAAAAGAAGCCAAGAGGCATGGGAAGGGGGGGATGGGCCCAACTCCAGGGGGACCCCTCTTCCGCCGCGCATGCGCACTCCCGCACCCTCTTGGCCGCCAGCCCTGTCCGCTTGTCCCACAAGAAGTCCGTCTTGGCGGCGGCTGCAGTGGCGGCCACGGCGGCCACGTCTCCTCCGCTCCTCTCCGGCCTCCTCCTCCGCCACCGTCGCCTTTCTTTTCTCCCCCTCCTCAAACCCAGAGGCGGCTGCTCTGAAGGAGCGGGTGGGGGGGAATGGAAGGACAAAGCGCATGCGCAGCAAACGCTCACGCACGGGGCGAACGACGCCACGTAGAGGGCGGCTTAAGAATGCGCCGTGACGTCACGGGGGAAGGCGGAGCGAGCGGTGAGGATAGGAGGGTATTGGGTTTGAGGACATAGAGCGATGAGGAATAGACGAAACGCCCGTCCGAACTTGCGGGACTATTTCTAACTTTCTCTCAAAGGCTACACCTACATATTATTATTATTGTTATTATTATTAACTTTATTTGTACCCCGCCAACATCTCCCGAAGGACTCGGTGAGGCTTATAAAGGCCAAGGCCCTCAATAAAACAACAACATAACCAATACAACAATAAAACTCATAAAGCAAACCAATAAACATTAAAGCAATATCAGTAAAATATCAAAACAATACATCATGACACATTTAAAACTAGGGCCGGGCCAAATATGAATAAATTAAAAGTGCTGGACATGACAAGGTGAAATGTAAGGATTTTAGGGTAGGTGCGATGTGCAGGCAATCTTAAATCTCTGGTAAAGTGCGTTTGGGACATGATGCTGGGAGTTTCCTATTCTGGAAAGGCACACTGGCACAGCCAGGTCTTCAAGCTCTTCCTAAAGACTGCCAACGTTGGGGCTTGTCTGATGTCTATGGGGAGAGAGTTCCAGAGTTGCGGGGCTACCACAGAGAAGGCCCTGTCCCTCGATTCCACCAAACACGCTTGTGATGCAGGTGGGATCGTGAGCAGGGCCTCTCCAGATGAACGGAGGGATTGTGTGGGTTCATATACAGAGATGCGGTTGCACAGGTAGGCGGGTCCCAAACTGTTTAGGGCTTTGTAGGTGAGCACCTGCACCTTGAATTGGGACCGCAAAATGAAGGGCAGCCAATGGAGCTCCTTAAACAGGAGAGTTGACCTCTCTCTGTAAGGAGCACCAGTTAACAACCTGGCCACCGCCCGTTGGACCAGTTGAAATTTCCGAGCCGTTTTCAAGGGCAGCCCCACGTAGAGCGCATTACAGTAGTCCAATCTAGAGGTGACCAAGGCATGGACCACCCCGGCCAGATCAGCCTTTACGAGGTACGGTCGCAGTTGGCGCACGAGTCTCAATTGTGCAAAAGCCCTCCCGGCCACCGCCGACGCCTGAGCCTCAAGCGTAAGTGATGAATCCAAGAGGAGACTCCCAAACTGCGGACCTGTGACTTCAGGGGGAGTGTAACCCCGTCCAACACAGGTTGCCACCCTATACCCCGATCCGGTTTACGATCGACCAGGAGGACCTCTGTCTTGTCGGGATTGATCTTCAGCTTGTTCATCCTCATCCAGATAGACACAGCGGCCAGGCACTCGTCCAGCACCTGAGGGGCTTCCTTGGAGTTAGGTGGATAGAGGTGGCACCCAACCCCAAAACTCCGGATGACCTATCCCAGTGGTTTCATGTAGATGTTAAAAAGCATGGGAGACAGAGTTGAGCCTTGCGGGACCCCACAGGTCGAAGGCCAGGGGTCCGAGCAGGCGTCTCCCAGCTTCACCATCTGGTAAAAGTAAAGGTTTTCTTTGACTGTGTGGATCATAATAAATTGTAGAAAGTTCTTGGTGGTATACAGCCTCCTTAGTAGCAGGTGGGAAGGAGTGATAGAGTTGGACATCATTTGCGTACAGGTGACATCACACCCCAAAACAAAACAAAATGTATCCAATTGTCTGGTGATTATGTGGAAAAGTGAATAGTGGTAGTTAAAGAGCACATGATCAGGATTATTTCTGAGTTTGATTTATTAAAATATTCCCAACCAAACTCAGGTAACAAAGGGTTGTTGTAGGTTTTTTCGGGCTAACAAAGCTGGAGGCATTACTTTTCATTCAACCCTCATCTTTATTTACTGGTGTGATCATTTCATTTCCATCCTACCTTTCTCCCCAAATGAAATTCGAGGCAGCTTTGGACCATGTTCCCACCACCATTTCCATCCTTGAGATGGGGTCTACACTGTTAAATAAATAGACTTATTTTCCATACATTTGGGGGGTAAGTCCTTCGAGAACTATTCACCAAGAGGGCCAGCAGATGGAGCTTGTCTCCCAATATTATGACAGTCTTTCAAATGAGTTCTTTCTTATGGCCGCTCTTAGAGACACTGGTGACTGCTCTCATCTTCAGAAAACTTGTACATCATTGGCAGAAATGTATCCAATTGTCTGGTGATTATGTGGAAAAGTGAATAGTGGTAATTAAAGAGCACATTCTCAGGATTATTTCTGCATTTGATTTATTAAAATACTAGCTTGGGGACACGGCTGTGCCTGGGTTATTTGAGAAAGGCATTGTGTGCCAAGGTTGGTCTATAAGTTATTTCTGTGTACTGCGAGTCCCATTGTCCATGGTCCATCCTCTTCCAAACTGCACCAGAATGTTGAGTGGGTCACGGAGGCTCTGTGTGCCAAGTCTGGTCTTGATCAGTCATTGGATGAGGGTCACAGCGGTCTCAGGAAGTGAGTGGAGGTACTTCAAGTCCCATCATCCATGGTCCTTCCTCCTCGAAACTGCACCAGGATGTAGAATGGGTCATGGGGGTTATGTGTGTTAAGTTTGGTCTTGATCAGTCATTGCATGCGGGTTTCTTTGTCCATGTAGAATCATAGAATCATAGAATCAAAGAGTTGGAAGAGACCTCAATGGGCCATCCAGTCCAACCCCCTGCCAAGAAGCAGGAATATTGCATTCAAATCACCCCTGACAGATGGCCATCCAGCCTCTGTTTAAAAGCTTCCAAAGAAGGAGCCTCCACCACACTCCGGGGCAGAGAGTTCCACTGCTGAACGGCTCTTACAGTCAGGAAGTTCTTCCTCATGTTCAGATGGAAATCTCCTCTCTTGTAGTTTGAAGCCATTGTTCCGCGTCCTAGTCTACTGGAAGGGTTTGGTGGGCATTGACCTTGAGTTTTGGAGTTATAGTTCACCTACATCTAGAGAGCACTGTGGACTCAAACAATGATGGATCTGGACCAAACTTGGCACGAATACTCAATATGCCCAAATATGCACACAGAGGAGTTTGGGGAAAATAGACCTTGACATTTGGGAGTTGTAGTTACTGGGAGTATAGTTCACCTACAATCAAAGAGCATTCTGAACCCCACCAATGATGGAATTGGGCCAAACATCCCACACAGAACCCCCATGACCAACAGAAAATACTGATATATGATTCACACACACACACACACAGACACACACACACATACAGATATAGTATCATAGATTTGAAAGGGACCCCTAAAGAAGGACAATTATGTGTTGCATGTTCCAGAGTGGGCAAACCAGACAATCTCCACATCAACACTGACAAAGAAACAGCAAGAAATGCTGTTCACCCACAAGCCTAAAAACATTACATTATATATATTAGAAACCAATGCTTTCTCGTTACTTTATATTCCAGATCAGCAGACTGGGCCACAGCAACGCGTGGCAGGGGACCGCTAGTAAATAAATATTTTATTTATTTATTTATAATGATATCCCAATTTAAGGTGCTGGTGTTATCCTACAAAGCCCTAAACGGTTCCCAAAATACCTTGAGTACCGCATCTCGGCCTACGAGCCCACGAGGACCTTAAGATCATCCGGGGAGGCCCTTCTCTCGGTCCCGCCTGCCTCACAGGCACGCCTGGTGGGGACTAGAGAGCGGGCCTTCTCGGTGGTGGCCCCCCGGCTGTGGAACTCCCTCCCTGCTGAAATCAGACAGGCGCCTTCCCTCATGGCCTTCCGCAAGGGCCTGAAAACCTGGCTCTTCGAAAAGGCCTTCAGCTAGTGCCATACGTTTTTGGAATGATCACCGGAATGTACTATGACTATGAGATTGATTATGACCCCAAACTAGACGAATGCGGATTTTTAGTTTAATTAGTTGTTGTATTAGTAAGATGTTATGTCATGGTCTTGATGCATTGTAAATTGTTGTCTTTTCTATGTTCTGTACACCGCCACGAGTCGCCCTTGGGCTGAGAGTGGCGGTTAACAAGTGCAAATAATAAATAAATAAATAAATAAATATTGGTTAAAGAAATATTCGTTACACCTTCTGGGTTTACTCAACATGAGGAAACCTGTGATCCATTTGTTTCACTACATATTTCACAGGCAAATGGGGCAATAAGCGCATTTTGGATGGGAAGGAGGAGCATCAGTGGTTCCGGTCATGAGGGACTGACTGCAAAAAACAGCCAGACCTTCCTTCCATACATTGTTGTTCTTGTTCATTCGTTCAGTCGTCTCCGACTCTTCGTGACCTCATGGACCAGCCCACGCCAGAGCTCCCTGTCGGCCGTCACCACCCCCAGCTCCTTCAAGGTCAGTCCAGTCACTTCAAGGATACCATCCATCCCTCTTGCCCTTGGTCGGCCCCTCTTCCTTTTGCCTTCCACCTTCCCCAGCATCCTTGTCTTCTCTAAGCTTTCCTGCCTCCTCATGATGTGGCCAAAGTACTTCAACTTTGTCTCTAGTCTCCTTCCCTCCAGTGAGCAGCTGGGCTTTATTTCCTGGAGGATGGACTGGTTGGATCTTCTCACAGTCCAAGGCACTCTCAGCGCTTTCCTCCAACACCACAGCTCAAAAGCATCGATCTTCCTTCGCTCAGCCTTCCCTAAGGTCCAGCTCTCACATCCGTAGGTTACTACAGGGAAGACCATGGCTTTGACTAGGCAGATCTTTGTTGCCAGTGTGATGTCTCTACTCTTTACTATTTTATCGAGACTGGACATTGCTCTCCTCCCAAGAAGTAAGCGTCTTCTGATTTCCTGGCCACAGTCTGCATCTGCAGTAATCTTTGCACCTAGAAATACAAAGTCTGTCATGGCCTCCACATTTTCTCCCTCTATTTTCCAGTTGTCAATCATTCTTGTTGCCATAATCTTGGTTTTTTTGATGTTTAGCTGCAACCCAGCTTTTGCGCTTTCTTCTTTCACCTTGATTAGAAGGCTCCTCAGCTCCTCCTCGCTTTCGGCCATCAGAGTAG